ATCATCTTGAATTTTTCCTGTGACAAATTAAACAAGTCAACATTGTCTGCGTGGTAGCCTAATGGTCTTTCCTGCGACTTGAGATCAAGGGTGGAAATTTCTGTAGCGGAAGGTTAAGACTTACTTACAAGATGCTGGCAACAGGCAGACTGCTCAAGATTCTAAAGTGTGCTGAAATATTTTCTACAGTGGATTGCTCATGCACAAGAATGTGCAGCTGACTGCAAACTGAGACGAATCTGATCACTTCTGATCTGTTGGCTTTTTTTTTAACTATCAGAGGAAAAAACTTACCATTCCATCATCCATTGCGTTTGCTCCACTACAAAACAAAATTAACAATGTCCTTTTTTTCAAAGTAATATTCCCAACAGCATTCCTACACATTATTTTAAGTGTATGCAGAACTCAAGACCTATTCTGTACATTTCCCAATCATTATATCAATTTTCTTTTTCCAGAGTCAAACAACAAGTGGATTTCCTCAAAACGTAAATATTAGTAATAACCATACATGCATTGTAACTTACATTGTGAACCTACAGCCCTCATGGTGCAATGTGGAAACACATGTACCTGGTTAACATGGGGAGAGTTCTCCAGATTCTGCCATTGAACATTTTGACCAAGGCAAATTTGAAATTTGACTAGCTGGCAAACTTGCTGCAGTTTGGCAAAAACTTAAACTCCACATGTCCTTGCAATTTTCAGACACTGTACGAACCCTGTGCATCAGTGAGAGAACTGAAGTGTCTCAGTTTGTGCTCAATAGTTCTTTCCTCACGAGAAACTGTACAAAGACAATCGGGCTGCTTAAACTTCCAATCCTCCATACATAAGAAAAAAGATGGCAACTGGTAATTAAAAAATAATGCACGCTTCTAAGGGCATGGAAACCTTCCAACATACAGAAAAGTTCCAAAATCTCCAAACCTAACATACACCATGTCATTGATACTGTATGCCTTTCCTTGGGCCCAAGTGGTTGTGTTAAGTTTGCAAGGTACCATCACTAGTAAAATGTTGAGCTACTACATGTATCTTTTTTCCTCTGGAGGACTGCAACCCATGGATGTCATATCAAAGCTACATCTAGTTTTATGTTGGTGTAGGCTCCTGGCAGAGTCACCTAATAATTGGATATAACTGGGACTTTATGGCCATTACAACAACAAGTTACTGTCATATCTGTGTAGCATAAAATGTTTCTAAAGCATACTGTAGTTCTCATGTCAGTAACATGACAGGGTGAGAAGGATCGCTATAAACTTACATTGAGGCTGCAGTCACTGTGGGCCTATTTCTTTAGGGGCCATGGTCTAAGTTTTGGTGCAGTACATTGGGCTTGAAATTAGAAGGATAAGGGGTGTGATTTTTCAGCTAAGACACATTGTACTTTACTAATATATACCGTAGATATATAAACAACAAAGCATATAGATTGCTGAACTGATAGGTTACCACATGTAACTGCAATGCTGGGAGCAGCATTAAACTTGAAAATTATACAAATGGGGCATTCCATATTTTTATTCCCCCTACCCCCTATGGAGGGCAACAGAGCCAGTCATAAAACCGTCCAACAAATTTTTAATCCCTTCGATCCAAACTTCAAAGGTGCCGACAACAAAAAACTAGGCTGTCGGAATCTGTCCTCCATAGGGGAGAGAGGTGGGGGAGTGGAGAGATGCAAGAAGAAAAATTTAATTGAATGTCTCAATATACAGTTTAACAGTTCAACCCCTTCTAGTCCTAGAGGGGGGAGCAATACGCCTATAGACACTTCAAGGCTCCTTTCAGATGTGTAGCCTATTGAACTAGACTGTTCCAANGGAGCAAATGTGCATGGATTATATTCCAATGGATCTCAATGAGTCAGACGATTCATCGGTATCGGACTCAACAAAAGAGTCATTGTAAACATCGCTGTTATCGCTGTCGAGGTCCCAAATTTTTACAGAACCTTTCTCTTCTCTTGACTTGATCTTTTTGCCCGCTTGATACGTCAGTAGCTTCATCCGCGAGGCCAACTTTCGCTTCTTCACTCATTGATGTATTTTCATTCGTTCTTCGCTTTTTCGAACTGGTAAACGGAGTTTTCCGTGATCCATGTTTACTTATAACTTAATAGAATTACATCTGATACGAAAAATGTTTGGATTAACGATGCTGATTATAACTGAATAGCCAGCCAATTCGTGGTATCCATATAGGTAATATTCCCGCGAAAGCAGTCGCGGTTGATTGCATGCACGGTATAGGGCTGTCAATCAAGAGGGAACTTTTATTTCCGGCCATAACGTAAACCCTCCATTTCTCCGCCAATATTAAGTTTTTTTCAATGTTGTTTTCAGAAATTAGAGATTACTCTTCGACAATTACTTTGAACCAAAAATCCAAATTTGAAGAAAATTGCCGATCTGAAGGTATACTGTAACCTTAAACTTGAAAATTATACAAATGGGGCATTCCATATTTTTATTCCCCTACCCCCTATGGAGGGCAACAGGGCCAGTCATAAAACCGTCCAACAAATTTTTAACCCCTTCGATCCAAACTTCAAAGGTGCCGACAACGAAAAACTAGGTTGTCGGAATCTGTCCTCCATAGGGGAGAGGTGGAGGAGTGGAGGGGTGCAAGAAGAAAAATTTAATTAAATGTCCCAATATACAGTTTAACAGTTCAGCCCCTTCTAGTTCTAGAGGGAGGAGCAATACGCCTATAGACACTTCAAGGCTCCTTTCAGATGTGTAGCCTATTGAACTAGACTGTTCCAACAAAATGTACTAACTGTAATATTACCTCAATCGCTTGCATGAGTTCTTTATTTTCTCCATTTTCTTTTCCCACTACACAAAGTCGAGTTTCCATAGCGGAGCTGGAGCTTCCTAAAATTTGAAGTCAAACAATAAAATATAATGTACACAATGAGCTTACGATATCAGGAAAAAGTTAAAACAACCAATTCGTTGTAAAACTTTGATGAGTTCTAAGCCAACGGCTTTAATTCCTTCTTTCCCTATGTCTTCAGATTATCGATGTTGCCTATCGATAGATGATGATATATTTTTCCAAACAATCTTTTCACAAAATTGCTTCGGTCCTCTGAGACATCTCTAAATATCTCTAAATGTCCTAGCTTGAATATCTCAGACAAGGTACAAAGCTAGCGAAGAATGGAACCATACGAACTTGTGCAACTATTTTTGTACTAAGATTTAATAATTATGTTCTGTCTTTACGCATATTTCCCGAGATCATGGCAGTTTCTAGAAATAACTTTCCTATAGACATTTAAATGGGAATGTTCAACTGTAAATGGAGGGATAATCCTTAGTTTACTCACTGTCAAACTGACAGCGAAATCTACAAACGCACCTTCACGTGAAGAATTCTGATGGTCGGACGCGTCCAGATTTCCCGCGCCCAAAAACGCCGTATTATCAAGGTAATTCTGTCTACACTTATTCTCCCAAATCCAGCGAAAAATCTTGAATAAATCGACGTAATTTTCAGTGAACTTTTAGCCTTGCAGAACCCCAAAGAAATTTCCTTTTCAAAAATGGCGGTTGTACAACGGTTGAATAGGTCAATTCCATATTTGGAGGTTTTGCGCCGTGCTTACATTTCCTTGTCAGCGGTACTTTTAAGCAAAGAATACGTTGTGTAGTACCATATAGATTGTCCTCTAACTAAGAATATTTTGGTTGGTTCATTTTTCGGGCGCCATTATTTTGGGGGGGCTTTTTTGCGTTTCAAGAATAGTCTTGAAGGCTAAATTTAGTTTATTTCGAAAGATTTTTGCAATGGTCTGAAAAGAATCGGCCTATCAAATATATTAATGAAAAAGAATATCATCTGATAATCTCTGGGTTGATGCCAATGAAAACCTCTAAATAAGCTTATTCGAGTAGACTCTCTCGGTTATGTACTCACTCACCATAGCGTCGAAAAGCGCCAGATGGGGCTATTGTAAAACAGTGTAGCACTGGAGTTGTGCCAAGGTGAGTTACGCGCATGGATCGAGGACATCACGCACGACACGTACGGGTCTCGAATTTGCTTCTGTAAAAAGATGTATAGTTTCTGGCAATTGCTTATCTCTAGATCTTCTCTACAGATCTCGGATTAGATTCTTTCAAGGAGATTATTCTGCTTACAAGATAATTACTTTTAAATCTTCCAACATTGTACAAGAGTGTCGCCCATAAGTTTATAATTGTCTGTGTGGTTTGAAATCTTTGTTATTGCGGTTTTGTTTCGTGCGAAGAAACAAATAAACAGAAGAGCCTCGTCTGTCATGGAAAATGAATCACTATTTCACATGCTGGGAATAGTTCATCGACCAACCGTTATTTTAATGTCACATTTGTATTCAATCAATATTTTCATAAACATTAGTTTGGTTTCATATCCTGTTATGAACAATACATCATTGAAGGGAAACATGAATTAACATTAAAAATTCCGTCGGTTCAGGGGCGCGTTTAGCCTCTTGGACAGATT